GGTTCTACAAAGGGAATCGATCTTACAAAAGGGAAGTAGTAGAGGTATAGATACAAATGAATGTTTGAGATAAAAAAGGAATAATTGAAAAGTAAGTTGTAGAGCTTTTAGAAGTCTTTTTGGCTTGAGTTGATCGGTGTCCCTTTCTCTAATCCTTCTGTTGCCTCTTATAGAAGTTTTCTTCTTCTAGAATTAAGATTTCCTAACTCGGTTCATTCTTTTTCATCCAAGTTGGAGATGTGACGTTCGTCAAAAGATGAGCCCTATCTTGGATACTTGAGCTTTGATCCTCTCGAATTTACAGATCTTGAAGCATTTTTCTTTGAGAAACTTGGCTGAGTAAACTTTTGTTTTGTTTATGCGAACGATGGTGAGCTCACTACCCAAACCTGCCACATCAAAAGTACTTTTGAATTTTGGGTCAACCACAGTTTATTTCTACTAAAATAAATACCCAAAATAGCAAGTATGAGTTAAAAAGAAGGGTAAAAGACTGTTTACTACCCTAATGTTTCGTGGTTTTCAACATTTAGTACATCAATTTTTTTCGTCTCAGAGTCATACCTAAAGTGTAAATTTTGGGACAGTCTCATACATCCGTTAGTCAAACTGTTAAGTTTTTCGTTAACTGTGACGTGGCGCACTGAGTGGGCGCCACGTGTCATACACGTTTTTTTTTTTTCTTTTTTCTTTCTTTTCTTTTCTTCTTCTTCCTCCGACTGCAACTTTCTGCTTTTTTTTTTTTTTTTTTTTTGCTTCTTCCTTCCTTCCTCCTTCCTTTCCCTTTCTTCCCCTTCTTCCTTCTTCTTCCTTCTTCTTCCTCCGAAATTTGGGGAATGTTTTTTTTTTTTTTTTTCTTTCTTCTTCTTCTTCATCTTCTTCCTCAAAAAAAAAAAAAAAAAAAAAAACACTTTCAACTTCCCCCAAATTCGGAGGAAGAAGAAGAAGAACGAAGAAGGGGAAGGAAGAAGGAGAAGAAGGAGGAAGAAAAAAAAAATTGAATCTGGGCAGATTCGGAGGAAGAAGAAGAAGAAGGAAGGAGGAAAGAGAAAGAAGAAGAAGAAGAAGAGGAAGAAAAGATAAAAGTGTTTTTTTTTTTTTTTTAGGAAGAAGAAGAAGAAGAATGAGGAAGAAGAAGAAAGAAAGAAAAAAAAAAAACAAACTTCCCCAGATTTCGGAGGAAGAAGAAGAAGAAGAAGAAGGAGAAGGAAGAAGAAGGAAGAAGGGGAAGGAAGAAGGAAGAAGGGGAAGGAAGAAAAAAAAATAAAAAAAACATTCCCCAGATTTCGGAGGAAGAAGAAGGAAAAGGAAGAAGCAAAAAAAAAAAAAAAAAAAAAAAAAAAACAGAAAGTTGCAGTCGGAGGAAGAAGAAGAAAAGAAAAGAAAGAAAAAAGAAAAAAAAAACGTGGATGACACGTGGCGCCCACTCAGTGCGCCACGTCACAGTTAACGAAAAACTTAACAGTTTGACTAACGGATGATGAGACTGTCCCAAAATTTACACTTTAGGTATGACTCTGAGACGAAAAAAACATGATGTACTAAATGTTGAAAACCACGAAACATGAGGGTAGTAAACAGTCTTTTACCCTAAAAAGAACGTTAAGCCTTTGCCAGGCCCAACTTCTCTACTCCCTTAATGTGGTAGTGAATTTGAACCACATTATTATTAGCCATTGTGAGGCTTAGCCCACTTCTCTACTCCCTTAATGTAGATAATATTGTTTATTCAACAAAAATTATTGTCTAATAAATTTGAACAAGTTATTAAGTCTTTTGCTACAATTAGTACAAACAGATTGGATAAATTCCTCTTCTTTTTCTCATATGGTAATGAGAAATTGAAATCTTTTTATGCACCACATTTGCATCATGCAATCCAGAGGCCCGAGTTTGATTCTCACTTCTTCACTGTGATTTATAATAGAGAAAAGGGTAAATTACAAAAAATTACCTCAACTATTGGTCTCACGACACTATCATACCTCATTTTTTTTAAATTGACAATGGCATACCTCATCTTTAGAATTTGGTCCAATGTTATACCTTCCATTACTTGGCCGTGAATTTTTCAATTAAATGCTGACGTGGCTTGATTTGGGGCCCATTTTCTATTAAAAAATTATTAAAAACTAAAAAAAATAAAGAAAAGTTATATAAAAAAAAAAACCCTCAGTTCGTCCCTCCCCCTCCCCCCCCCCCCCCAATCTTCATCTTCTTCCCCCAACCTGCAACCCAGAAAGAAAAAAAAAACCCATCTGACCCCATTTCCTGCAACCCACCCCTTTCTTCCCCACTCCCGTCTTCCCTAAACCATTTGCACCCACCACCTGCAACCCAGAAAAAAAAAAATTAAAAAGAAACCTTGATCCTGTCTACATCGCCATCGCCGGGTTCATGATGGGAAGATGGGTGCACAAAGAAGGTGGAGGATGGGTGCGGAAGAGGATGTGGAGAATGGATGGGAGTGGTGGATTTGGGGTTGGCAGGGGGTTGGGTTTGTGTGTGTGTGTTGGGGGGGTCGAACTGGGTTTGGTTTGGGTTTTTTTTTTTTCCTCCTTATTTCTGGGTTGCAGGGGGTTGGGTTTGTTTTGTTTAGGGGGGGGGGTGTGGGTTGGTTTGGGTTTTTTTATTTTTCTTTCTTCTTCTTCTTTTTCTTCCTCCTTATTCTTTCTGGCTTGCAGGGGGTTGGGGTTTTTTTTTTTCTCTTCTTCTTCTTCCTCTTCCTCCTCCTTCTTCTTTCTGGGTTGCAAGGGGGTTGGGTTTTTTTTTGGGAGGGGTGGGTGGGGGGGGAACGAACTGGGTTTGATTTGGGTTTTTTTTTTCTTCTTCTTCTTCCTCCTTCTTCTTTTTGGGTCTTCTTCTTCCTCCTTCTTCTTTATGGGTTGCAGGGGGTTGGGTTTTTTTTTTTCCTTCTTCTTCTTCTTCAGGGGGGGCGTTGTTACGGGTTGATGGGTTTTCAAATTTTTTTTTTGTTGAGAGAGAGAGAGGGGTTTTTTATTTTTTATATAACTTTTCTTTATTATTTTAATATTTTCAAATATATTAAATAATTTTTTTTAGTTTTTAATAATATTTTATTAATTTTTTAATAGAAAATGGGCCCCGAATCAAGCCACATCAACATTTAACTGAAAAATTCACGGCCAAGTAACGGAAGGTATAACATTGGACCAAATTCTAAAGATGAGGTATGACATTGTCAATTTTAAAAATTGAGGTATGATAGTGTCGTGAGACCAATAGTTGAGGTCGTTTTTTGTCATTTACCCTAGAGAAAATTAGAATCCCCTACAGTTTTTCTATATCATTTAGATTAAATATTTGTGCCTTTTTAAAATTTGATTAAAGTGCTTTGACCAATAGCTACCTCAAGCTAAATTACATGTCATTATTATATTTTTAAAATTAAAATAAATTTTGAATTTATCATTTTATCTGTATGATGCACTTTTCCTTATTTAATGGAGATATTAGTAATTAAACTATATTTTCTCTTCTTCCAGATATGTTTTTTCGATCACAAATTTTATTTTTATTTTTTTGTTATGCAAACATTTAGGGGGGTGTATTCAATTGGGATTTTAAGGGATTTTAATTCTTTTAATGAATCTAGGGGTATTCAATAAGGATTTTAAGTGATTCTCTGAAATTCTAGGTGTATTCAATTAGAATTTTAAAATAGTTTATTAAAATCCTTAAAAATCCAGGTGTATTCAATTAAGATTTTAAAGAAGTTTATAACATTCCAGGTGTATTCAATTAGAAATTGATTTTAAAGAATTTGAGAAAGTTGGGGAATTAGAGGGAATTTGAGAGATTTCGTAGTGTATTTTAAGTATCCACAAATCTCACCTATTCCCATGAGATTTCGAGGGAATTGAATCAAAATTTTATATGGAATCTCTACAAATCAATTAAACTCCATAAAAATCCATGGATTTATAAATCCATTAAAATGTCTCTCATTCTCAATTGAATACACCCCCCTTAATATTACTTCTTTTTCCAAATGGTTTTTTTATTTTCAAATAGTTGGTTATCAACATAAAAGCTCCGTGTAATTTTTTCAATTTTTTTGTGAAATTATATTTTTTTTGCTGTTTTTTTTAAGTATAGTTGTTAACGAATTATTATTAGGTACAATACATTACGTATATATTATCTATGGGTAAGCTTGAATTTACACAAGTCATTAATTGGTACGTTTATTTGCAATTTTGGTACATTTGATTTGATACATATTGTTAATATTGGTACATTATTTTTATTGTGTACACATTGTGTATTGGTACATTTATATTATTCCCAATCCTATTTTCTCTTAACGTACTATTTCAGTATATTTGATTTTGTGGGATTTAAAAATATTTTAAACTATTTTGGAAAGAAAATATCTTAAATCGTAGATAATTATTGCTAAATTGTAGCATTATTGTGAAAATAAATTGAATCTAACCAGCCTTCTTTTTTTTTTTTTTTTTTTTTTACGATTATCTCTAACGAAGGAGAGTGTAATCAAAAGGCTAGATTATAGGAAATTTGTTACGATATAATGTGCATATAGTACCAAAATTATGATAAAAAAAAGTTTAATCAAATCACTAAAAGGTATGGATGTTTGATCCAGAAAATTCAAAACTGAGGCGCCTATATAAAAAAATCCTTTTATAATAAAATAAAATGTTTCATCATACATGGAAGCAAGCAGAAGTTGGAAGCAAAAGCAGCCGACAAAACGCCAGAAAATTGGAATTCGATTATTAATTAAGCTTGGGCAATATTATTCCTAAATGGAATTCCTAGTACTTGTCTGATTTTATAAACCGTTTTCCAACTGGATTTGGGAAACATTTTCCGTTTGGGACACTAACTATATTTATCTATCTATCTATATATATGCATGCTCACGCATTATTGCCTTTCATCTAAATTTCATTCATTCATTCTCTTTGCTTTCTGCTCTCCTAATTGCTTGTTTATTGTTTACTGTTTTAGTCATGGATCTAAGAAACACTGTTGCCGTGAGTTTCATCATTATGATGATTTTCTTTGGTGCTTGCTCCGCTACCGTTTATACGGTTGGCGGCGATTTGGAAGGGTGGACTGACAGTGGCGCGGTTGATTACAACAAGTGGGCCTCATCGAAAAAATTCTATGTGGGCGACGAGTTCATATTTAATTACAAACATGAATATGATTTTGTGATGATAGTCACTCAAGCAGATTATGACTATTGTATTCCATCACTTCCCCTATCTCATTACGGTACCTTTACCGCCTTAACTTTTGATATACCCGGCACCTACTATGTTATTTGCGGTGAACCTGGTCACTGCAAAGCCGGCCAAAAGATTAAAATCAAGATCAATGCCCTCGAAATAGAAGCTCCAGTAGTCAGTCCAAGCCCCTCTCCTTCTCCATCCTCGCCGTCAGGTTCTCCGTCTAATGCTAAAGCAATGTCACCAAGCTCAAAAATCACACGACCGCTCCTGGTTCTTAATCTTGTGATGGTCGGTGGGGCTGCTACCGCGCTTCTTATGTTGGTGGCTTGGGTTTCGCATTTTATCTACCGCCGTTTAAATGAATCCATGTTCGAAGCCGAGAAGAGCTCCCAAGTAGTTTAAATGTATTCTTTATTTTATTCGGATTGATTGGATACGAATTCGTACTTTCATTAGTTTTAGTTGTTTTCAACATACACTGGTTCAACTTACATATATGAAAAGATTATTCAGATTACATATATATTTATTTGATTTTTATCAGGAGAAAAGCTATAAGATGAGAGATATAGAACAACGAAAAGAGTTGTGAAGGGGATTTTTGACTTCAACCAAACCAAATCAGTAACAATACATAATTTCTCTACAACAAAGCACTAGTAATGAAAAAATTGAATCTTAATCATAATTTGCTCGCCTCCATGCTCATGTCCCGTCATAACAAACACAGAGAAATCGACATGAATGAAATTCGAAAATGAATACAAAAAGAAATTCCGCAACCGCTTGAATAGAAGAAGCCTTTCTGTAATACAAAATCTGTTGTGTAGATTCTTTGTTCCCCGCTTGCTTTGTTTGCGCGATTAGAAGCATTTCCTGTGAACAATTGAGGGGCCAGACTCATCGTACTCTGCCTTTGCAATCCACATCTGCACTCAGAAATAGAAATAGCTTTGAGTATGAATACGTTAAGTTACCTCCCAAATGAATTGTCACATTAGCATTTTGACAAACAAGAAAATGAACAAAGAAGAGGTGTTTTAGCTGTTTTCAATTGAAAAGACGCGCACACACGCGCGCGACAAATTACCTGTTGGAAGGTGCTGAGGGATGCTAAAATGGAGCCTCCAATCCAGACACTGTATTTCCTCTCCGGTGGTGCTACGACCTTAATCTTCATGCTACTTGGAGCCAAGGCTGTAATCTCTTTGCTCATCCTGTCAGCAATTCCAGGGAACATAGTGGAGCCTCCACTGAGGACAATATTTCCATACAGATCCTTCCTAATATCAACATCACACTTCATGATAGAGTTGTATGTGGTTTCATGGATACCGGCAGCTTCCATTCCAATCATGGATGGCTGGAAGAGGACTTCAGGGCACCGGAATCTCTCAGCTCCGATAGTGATTACCTGTCCATCAGGTAGCTCGTAACTCTTCTCCACGGACGAGCTGGTCTTCGATGTCTCTAGCTCTTGTTCATAGTCAAGAGCAATATAGGCTAACTTCTCCTTCATGTCCCTCACAATTTCCCGCTCAGCAGTAGTGGTGAAAGAGTAACCACGTTCAGTCAAGATTTTCATGAGAGCATCTGTAAGATCACGTCCTGCCAGGTCCAAACGAAGGATGGCATGTGGGAGGGCATACCCTTCATAAATTGGAACTGTGTGGCTCACACCATCCCCTGAGTCGAGAACAATACCTAAACACCAAAACATACATGACCAAAAAGCATTAGAATGCGAGTTTTGTCACTACCACAGAGACTCGAAAAATAAATATTTTATTTCTTTCAAGCATTCTAGAGCAGTACTTTGACAAATATCATCCGTTACTCCACTTAAACAATGAACCCAATAGGTGGTACAAAAAGATTTCCTTCCCTAAGCTAAACCATGAATGCAGTCGTGCAATAGGCCGAATAAAGATGATCTCACATGTATTCTTATCCTATGAGATCCATTGGCACTATTTTTGGTTCCGAAACATTTCTGATAACAATAATAATACATGATGCATCATACAGAGAAAACAAATCAATTACTCAATTGAATTGCTTACCAGTTGTACGTCCACTAGCATATAGGGAAAGGACAGCCTGGATTGCAACGTACATAGCCGGGGTGTTGAATGTCTCAAACATAATTTGAGTCATTTTTTCACGATTGGCCTTGGGGTTAAGGGGTGCTTCTGTCAGGAGAACTGGATGCTCTTCCGGCGCCACACGGAGCTCATTGTAGAATGTGTGATGCCAGATCTTCTCCATGTCATCCCAATTGCTTACAATACCGTGCTCAATTGGATATTTCAAGGTCAAAATACCTCTCTTCGATTGAGCCTCATCCCCTACGTAGGCATCCTTCTGACCCATACCAACCATCACACCAGTGTGACGAGGACGACCTACAATGCTGGGAAATACAGCCCTTGGAGCATCATCTCCAGCAAATCCAGCCTGCATTATCAGCTCAAATATTCAGTACTTGAAACAAAACAAAAAACCCAATAAATTCGGAAAAATAAAGACATTGTAGGATCGCAAAAGAATGGTCACGGGACACGTACCTTGACCATTCCAGTACCATTGTCACAAACAAGGGGCTGGATATCTTCAGATTCTGCCATTTTCTATTGCTTTCTGCAGAAAGAAACCAAACAACTCAATCAAATTATCGCAAACAATCACATTCATTTGCATCTAGACATGCTGACAATTTATAAATGATGGGAAATCAACATACGGAAATCATCTGAAAAGGATGACACATCAAAATGAAAAACAATCAATCCAATGCCTAACCAAGTTTATGAACACAAACCCACCATAGAGACCAAACTACAAACACATGCATTCCCAAATCACAAATGTAGGTAATATTTCAGATGATCAAGAAAAACCCATCAATGTTTTCAAGAATCATACACAACTTGCAAGCTGGGCATAGCCAAATTCACCCTCTCCACCGAAATTCAAATTCAACTTCCCCGTAATTTAGACTAGATTAGAATATCGCTGGAATAAATCGATAATCAAGCAAAACCCAGATAAAAATACATCGAACAAAACGAAATCAATGCAAAAAACAAAGGGAAAATGGAAAAAGTTTGTACCTTTGAATGGAATGGAAGAAACTATTTGGGGTTGTGTGTTTCTTTTCTCCCTTTGTTAAGAGAATGGCTGAGGTACCCGCCCTCTCGTTTTAAAAACAGGAAGCTCTCCCAAATGAAATTCACCTTAAATGAACCCCAAATTCGCCATCTTCAGATCCTGACCGTCGGTTGGGAATATCTGATCAACGGACCCCATGACGAGTCACGTTGATGGTGGAAACAGCTGGATTCGCTTTCGGTCTTTGTGCTTGTCAGGACGGATTTGCCCCTGACATGACTGCTAATGGCCTACCTGTCCTTCTGATTGTGACCGAGGGTATATTGGGAAACATGGTCGTTTCATCTTGCATCTAGCATGGAAATGTAACCCCATTTTCCTAAATTAATTTTCTTTTCAAAGTTTGAATCACCAACGGGTAGATCATATTCTGATTTCATTTGCGGAATTAATATGACTTAAATTGAAATAAGTTTGGAACAAACAAGTTTTGGTATAAATTTTTTATTTTAGTACAACGATATTTTTACACTAATGAGAGAGAGTTTGGTAAAATCACACGATGGATAGTTTAATTTGGTATCGATTTCACCATCCACGAGATTCGAATCTAAGACCTCTCACTTTCAAGTGAAGAGGAATATCACCCGACCGTAGTACTGAGTGGCTTGGTATAAAAAAATTATGAATTAACTTTTGTAATAATAGTCTTGCATGACATATTCATCTTTTTAAATTTTAGATGATACATCTAATTGCGGTGGCTCGTGTTGCGTAACTTATTGGTGCATAACTAAGTTGATATGAGCTATATAAACTTTCACAAGAGTTTCATTAGTAACTATTCATTTTGAGGTGCAGAGCCTAAGTGGCGAGCACTTACTTTAGCCAGACATAGATTGAATATAATTTATGTTTATATTGTACTTATGCATAAGGTGAGCACATTCGCTTTTGCTTATGTGGCTATTCTTCCATATGTCATTATCATCTTATTGTAGGAATCAAGAATTTGCAATCTTATTTATAAAGTATGCACTCACAAAAAGATTAAACTTATAGTCAACAAGAGTTGATTGAGTTGGTAAGGATAGTTCTCTTCGTTAAACTAACACTTAGATTTGAGTCACACTGCTAGCAATCCCTTTTGGTAGACGATTTGTAAAAACAAAATAAAAAAGGCTAAAACCCCTTTATAAGCCCTCAAAAAGACTTGTGATATATCTTAACCCTAAACTGGTATAGGCTCCCCTTTCGCTAACTTTTTGTTACAAAAAAAAAAAGGATTAATCTCACATGATTAGTTTCTTGCTATTTATCTTAATATGAACAAGTAAGAGGTTAGGTATAGTAACAATTTGTAGAGTACAAGCAACGCATAGTTAGTTGATCATACATCACTTCTAAATTCATCTAAACAAACTACATGGCAAATAAGCACTTCAATACCACATTTGACTTCCAAAAATACCCTTGTACTTGCGGAATTGTCAAATAAGGAAGAGGAGAGGGGCAAATTGGTCATGCCAAGGAGAACATTTTATTTAGCTAAATAGGATGCCCCCTGAATCGCTTTATTAAGTGGGTGGAAGGTATGTGGGGTTGGGTGGCGGTAATCATACATGGGACGGTGCGTTTTTGCCAAAAGAGCAAATTGCCAACTCAGCAATTCGGTTTCCAACTGATTGGAGATCATGTCGGCGTGGTGTGTTCACGTGCGGCCGCTTCCAGGGACACTCGCTCGTTTCGCCTATCTTGTCGCTCCTCCTCCTCGCCGTTGACCAGTAAGTTCGTCAACAGCTAAACCAACGGTGGATCGAACACGTGTAAAATTCGTCAACAGCTAAACCAACGGTGGAGTCGTACACGTGTAAAATTCGTCGACAGCTAAACCAACGGAAACGTGAAATGCATAACTACCGGCAGGCTCACAACGTGGTCACTCGTCTTTGAGCCAGTCTTCCATGAAAGTTCTCTTTTTCTCCCCCTTTTAAAACTTCTAAAACTTCTAAAACATTCTTTAGTTTTCTTTTTTAATTTTATAATCCAATATGAATCCTTATGTAATCCAATGAATCTTTAATGGATTGTAAAGGGAGTTAGCACGACAGATGGATGCAAGTAATTTTGTAGACAATGAAATATTGATAATAACTGATCACGTGATCAGCACGCGAACATATAAGTGTGACTTTAATGTTATATATAGTAATTAATTATAGGATTTTCTTATCAAAGGAACAAGGACTGAGCCATCAAAGAGCAAGAAAGGTCTAATATTGACCACAACCTTAATCCGAAGTGTTTTCTCATTTTTTGTTATCGATCATAGTTTTCTTAAGAGTAGTCTTTAAAAAAAGAGAGAAAAAGGGGGAGGGGGGGGGGGACAAAAGGACAACCGGCATGGTTATCCACCTTCCAGGCTTGGAAAGGTTATGGGAAATTTCACCTTGTTCGTTATCACAATTAAGTAGACTCATCAACTCGGAACATTGAACCCAGAACCTCTTATATTTTTGTTTATTAGGAAGCCCTACTTTGCACCCTTGCCGCTGGGCCACTTTTTGTGGTTTAATTTTCTTAAGAGTTGGGAGGCGCGACAATGTGTTTGGTTTTAACAAAATAAGAAGCAATGCAACACTATGAGGTTGAAATTTTTTTTTTTTTTTTTGAACAAACGATATTATCTATAGGAGAGGAAGTGACTAAGCCTCACAATGGGCTTGCAATAATGTGGTTCAAATTCGCCTTTGGCGAGAATTGAACCTAAGACCTCTCACTTACAAGTGAAGAGGAATACCACTAAACTGTAGTACTAAATTGATTGAAATTTATTTAGAACTTTATTTACTTCGCTCTCGTAATTTGATCTAACAATCAAGCACACATCAAATTTGTAGTATTGTTAATTTGTTAACACTAGAGTTTAAATTTTGAGAACTTTATTTACGTCGCTCTTGTAATTTGATCTAAAAATTCAGTTTAGACACATCGATGTCGAGAAAATTTGTCTAGTGTTGTCCATGTATCCTATCGAGGTACACCGATTATTACATTAAGCACTTAGTAGGTACAAAGAGACTCATACAAAACATTCAAAGAGTCCTCAAAAGACCTTTACATATATATTTTTTGAACTCCAACCTAGGTCTCAATGTGAATCCACCTCTGGTCGTATGATTAGTTAAATTTAACTAGTTGTAGTGAGAATGCCCGGGAAAAATACACTTTTTGGTGTAGTGAAAGACATAATTTAGTTACAAAATAGGGATCTAAATCTAAATGCACATCTTTATCCATGTGAAGAACATTTTTTCTTTTGGGGTTTTGGGGTCGGCCATCGGTCATCATCATGGCTAGTTTGGTCCCGCATGTACGCTAAAAGCAGCTCTTTTCTTTTTTAATAACCCTTCTTTTAGGCATGGCCACCTAGTCACCCACCCATCGAAGTCGAACCATGTAACGCACCAATGAATTTTTTGGGTCGAGTTCATTAGGTTTGCCTTCTTTATTTAGAAATTGTGAGCAATGGATTTATTTCTTTCGTTAATTTTCTAATTGTTTTGGTAAATTCATGGGTCCACATGTTAGCTAAATTGAAAGTATCCAACTCCCCTATAAAATTTGCAGTCATTTCATGCATGACGTAGTAACGATATAAATGTTTAAGTTGATTGTACCGGAAATTTGGTATAACCTTCCGTGTTGATAGGACAATTATCCGTCTTCACACCTGTAAGAAACATGCATTTTGTTCACAATCCCCGAAGGACCGCACCTAGTGGGTCTCCGACCCTTTACTACATGCATGGATGCAAGTTCAGAGCATTATTATATCTCCTCAGATTATTTCTTTCATTGTAAAAAAAGTTAGCAATTTGGTATTTTAAGTTCGGGTAGTTTTGATACTTTATGTATTAAGATTTTTCTATTGTTTTTCTGTATGTTTAGAGTTAGGTCTTTATGCATACACAGCTTGTTACTTGGTATAAGGGTAAAGTCATGACAAGTTTAGTCCTCCCACTGTATAATGGTCTTGGCAATTTGTAACTTCTTCTTTATACTTGTAAATTAAATAAGAATCAGAGTTTGCAATCAATTTTTCTTCTTTTCACATCCTTGATTGTTAACATGTCATCATAGCAGATTCAATCACTTGCGGCAAGTTTTAAGTAATTAGTAGTGTCACTCAGTATGATCTAATGGTAAGTTAAGTCCTACTTAAAATTTTCGCCAGTAAGAGGCAGCATTGGGGCATGCAAGCAATTCAGCAGAGCATGCCCTTAATTTCATTAGAGGGGTTCCAATTTTCATTCTTCTATATATTTCATACATACATATTGAATTTCCTACAACTATTATATTACTTTTCATTTTTTTAACGAATGAACCGTAAAACATAATTTCATGGCAGATGAAGAAAAAAATATTATACATATACTAAAACCCAAACTCGGGTGCACTGTTTTTCACTGTTCCTGAACAGTAAAAAGGGCGGAAATGCCCCTGATTTTTTTGTTTGCTTAGCTGTTTTGCTGCTGCTTCCCACAGCTAAAAGACGCCTTTGCCCTTCTAACCCATGCGTCTGTCATCCGTGTGCTTTTTGGTTCCATCATCTTTTTGGTTCTATCCTCTTATACACGTGTTGCTCACCGTTTCCCTTTTAAGGCTGCACGCGTCGATCATCGTTGAAGGCTCTGCTTCGATTTCTTCTCGACCTTTTCTTCCGTGTTTCTTTCTCTCTCCCATAGCATTTTGCTTCGTTTCGAACCTGGCTTTCTTCCTCTCTCGCACTGCCCCTTTTGTTGCTGTCTAATGTTTCCGTCTTTGTCTCGGCGCGATCATCCACCGCCGTTTTTATTGCTGGAATGGTCTTCTGCTCCTGCGAATTTCTTTGGTTCGAAAGCCTTAGGTGGCTACAAGTTTTTTCCGTTTCGATTTCATCGAAATTCATTCTTTTCCTCGCGTGATCTAGCGTTTTCGGGTGAGTTTTAGGTCTTTTTCAGTGTGCCTAATTTAATTTCTTTTTTGTGGTTTTCGATTTGCAGGTGGAGGTTGTGTTTGGATTTTTTTTTCCTTTGATTTCGGGGTTATCTCTGTGTGCTTTGATCTTGCGTGTGGTTGTCTAATTTGATTCGATTTTTTCTTTCAGGAAACACTGGTCATACAATTTTAGAGCTTTTGTGTGCAGCGTTGGTAGCCCTTTGTGCTGAGTGTATACAATTTTTGTTTTTCCTTTTTGAGTCTTTTGTTTAAGATTTTTTTTTTATTTTTTTGGGTGGCCTTTGGTCTGCAGATTCAACTTCTGTTTAAATTTTGGTTTTTTTTTTCTTTTTCTATTTTTTTTCAAATTTTGGTTGTTTTGTTTATGTGTTCAGATGCCTGATTTTCCGACAAGGCGATTCCGGCCGATGACCAGAGAACTAGACCTCGCTACTATTGGTAAACGATGCCTCTTACTCCCATGACAAATATTCAGGTATTGCATATTGGATTTAAATTCAATTTTTAGAAAACAGACAGGTAGTTCTTTGATTCTGCAGGTGAAGATAATACACATGGTAACAGAGTACTCTTGCACCTCTGAATAACGGGTCAACAACCCAACTCCAAACTAGCAAGCAACATACCATCCATAACCCTCATAAAGTCGCATGGGCCACCACCAGGAAGGCCCCTCCAAACCCTCAGCATCAGCATCTTGGTATATCTCACTCATGCTCTACTTCACAAGTTCATTGTTATTTTTCGTAATATATTCTGATTTCTAGAACTATAAATTTGGATGTGGAAATGAATTTTCTGTGCAAATTTGGATATTTGGATGTTGGTTAAAATTAGGGGAATGGCTCCGATTTTGTTAGTCAATTAATTTAATTTTTTGTTTATCTCAAGCTTCTAAATGATTTCCTGCATCATTGCTTAGTTTTACTTACTGAAATTTGAGGGGTGAATTTTTTACCTTATGAGCTCATTTGTGATTATCAAGTGCATAATTTTCTTTTGATCAGATTTCCTTTGAAGTGAATGCCAAACTGCGGTGTGATGTTCAAACTTTGTGGCCTTTTGAAATAGTTGGGAGCATAATTCATTCTACTATAGATTGTTCCCCTTTCCATTTCCATGAGGTAAAAGCTCAAATCTCTGTATTTTTTGTGTTGGAGAAGTTGGTGGAACAAATTGTGCATTACTCTACATATGACCAATGTCTATGATTTTACCTATTTTGATAATGCTTGAATTATGCTTCTTGGTTTTTAATTGGGTTTTTGTGTAGTGAGTTGGATAGATAGTTCATAGCATAGGTTTGGTTGCATATCTATTGGAAAAAGAAAAACACGAAGAGGCACAACACACTGAGGATAAACTTTTTGTCTTCAGGTTAGCACTACTGCTTTTTCCTACCAGTCATAGGTGTGCTAATAGTGTTGAGAACAATGCCTAATTTAGTTTAACTTTTCTCATTTTGATAATTACCTTTTCCACTGCCTTCTTGAACTTGGAATTAGTTTGATAGCATTTTGGTTTTAAGCGTTTATAAAAGTATTTCATTCCAATGAACAAGTCATTGATCTATTAACTCTTATTTTGTTGAAGATTTAGTGCTAAAAGCTAGGAGTTACAAGTATTACATTCCATTCACCAAGTCATTGATATATTAGCTCTTATTCGCTAGAGGATTGAGATTTTAACTCTTCTCATCTTTGTTGCAGCCAATAACAAGAATAAACATTCTCCATTGCTTCGCCTGCTTCTACCAACAAATTGAAACCTAAACATTAAAATTTCATCACTATGATTTCACCCATTTATCATAAAATTGGTAGACATCACTTCATACCATCTCAGAGCAGAAATAAAGTTTTTAATTTTCTTTTACTCTGTTATTGCTCACTCTCTGTTTACTTTTCCTCAATTTAAGTCTTCAAACAAGCTACCGTTTGTAAGTCCTATCAATCTTCAATTTTTATTTTTCTTGCTTTGATTTCAATTTTTTACTACTAATTTTAATCATTTGTGTCCACTACTGATATCTTGGTATGTTAGTTTGAAAACGTGTCCCTTTGAATTGTAAAATCTGGCAAATTATTTGAAGCAATTCTGATTTCAACTTTTTGGTCTTTACAAATAGGAAGATGAGGAGACAAAAAGAAGTACAAAGGGATGGATTTAGCTTCCACTTTTGAGGTTCCAGGCATCCAAAAACTGCCGATTGGTGAGCTCAAAAAAAATAAAAAATAAAATTCTCAATTTGATATAAAGTTTGGATTTTCAAGTCGGGATTGGATTTAATTGTACATTTAATTTGATGGGTTCAATTTATATGCAAGGACTTTGCTTTTATTAATGCATAAAATACTAATTAAATTTTAATTAAGATGCTAACTTTGTAGGTACCCTGGAATTAACAATGTAGCTGGAGTTCTCTACTGGCTTAAGCACAGTAGAGAACTCAAGTACAGGTCTCTCTATTTGTTTCTCAATCCTGGAACCTCTGGCCTCCGCAAGAAGGTTCGTCTCTCTCTCTCTCTCACTTTTATTTTTTTAATTCGTAATCGAATTTCCTTTGCATAAATGCTAGATCTATTGCAATGGGGCCGCAAATCCTACCCTCTGTTTGTTACTTTGTTCCAATTCTTGCAATCAATTTTTCATCGTTTATTTGGTCAATTCTTGCATTGTTTTATTTGGTGAATTCTCGATTAACGACTGGTTCTTCTTGCTTGGTCTAATTGGGTAACTTAAGAATTTCATCTGTTGATTAAATTTCATGTGAGAATTTTTTTGTCCTCATGGATCCTTTTTTTTACCATTATTCATTTTTTTTTAATTATGTAGCCGAATGAGTTCGATATTCCTTTGGAGTCTCTGCAAGTTTAAAGTAATCTATGTTGTTGTTTTGATTGTGCGTTTTGTGACTTGCGCTATTTTAATAAGAATGTTTTCAATTTAGTGTAATCTCAATCTCAATGGGTTTTTATGATACGCCTTATCGGTGAATTTATTTACATTTTTCAATGTTGGTCTCGACGATTGTGATCACTGCACTGTGTGGATTTTGTTTGAATTCCCAAATTTTGTCGAACATTTGACAAATGCTTCTTGAATAAATTTCGAGTAAAGAACATCTAAATATGACAATTTCAAGGTTTCAAATTCATTGGAAAATATGAAATAATATTGCATAGTTTTTTATTAATGTGAAAAATTGGTACTTTTGTAGTGATATATGCTTGTGGAGAAAGTTGTAAAGTCTGATACTTTCCAGCTTTAATCTACTTTTTTCGTTGTCTTAAGGTATAGATCCCCGCATTTAATTTACTTTTTTTTTCAGGAGCAATTTGAAGGATTAAAATGTTGTCATTTGGAATAGATGATCTTGGTTTAGCAAATTGATAGTGAGATGGAACACCCCTAACTGCGTTGTAAGTTCGACTCACTCATCCTATAAGAGTTGCTTCATAATTGTAATATTCAAAACCAGATGACTTTTTCAGTTATGGTTCGATTATTATTTTCCTTCAGTTGTTATTCTTCATTTTTGATGTGGTTGCTGTTTGTGATTTCCATTCCATGTGATCCATACTCTCAGTTTTCTTTTCAGAATTCCTCTCTTTGCCTTTTCCCAATGTTAATATTTTTCTCCATGATAGAAATTTTAGGGTCTATGTTAATATTTTATTTTATTTTATAAATTTAGATCCTACAAGTTCAAGGCATTGATGATGGAATTAAATTCAACGCTGCTCATTGTTCCTTATTGTAGATAAGGTTGTACAGGAGCAAGACGTAGCACCACAGCATCGCGCGGGCAGTCTTGCTAGTATATCCTAAATCACTAAAACTATTCATTAGTTGGAGCGAGATGTTGACTTCGATTAAGTTGAAGTTTGTCGAATTTGACATGAATTTGTTGTCCAAAAAAATATTTAAATGAGGAGGGGCCCTATTATATTCCCACAAGGCCCTTGAAATGTTAGAGACGACCCAACCCGTGGAAAAGTTAACAATTTAGTGTATTTTAAATAATGAGTAGTTTTAGTATCTTACATATCAAGGTTTTGTTCAAAAGTGGGTCTTAAATACACTTTGTAACATGGTAAAAGGTTAAATCTTGACAAGATGTGGTTCTTTCGTTTGGTAGCGGTCCAAGCAATTGTAGAAATCCAATAAGTTTAGATATCATGGGCCTAGAAAAACAAAACTTACTTTAAAACCCAATAGGACATCTTATGTTGGTATAAATAAATAATTAACTTAATTAATCTTAACCTAGTCAATTAACTAACTTAATTGATTTGATCATCTTCACTAATTTCCCTAAACTCAATCTTATCGATGTGCAATCCATTAGGTTTACCGAAGTAGGTGACCTCCAACTTTCGACCGAATGAAGACATGAAGATGGAGATGAATTTGACAAGTAGAATGAATGCTAGTGCACTCTCTTGTGAATCTTGGCTTTTGTAGAGAATGAGAGAGTTTATGTAATTATGTTTCTCCAACCCAAAATAATAGCCCATTTTCTTAAGGTGGATTTCTAATGAATGGAAATGTGCGTGTATGTATAAAGTTATAAACCACACATTTTCACTCTCCCTTGCAATGAATATGATATTTTGGGTGGTGCTGGTCATACACGCTTTTTGCTTTCCACATACTTTAATTTTCAGTCTTTTGATCAAATGAATTGAAGATAATTAAACAACAAAAATTAACAGGAGTACAGGAGGTAAAAAGAAGTTATTGATAGTACCACCCCGATTTTTTTTTTTTTGCTTTGACAAATCATAAATTGCATTTTACTTATCACTTATTTTGCCAGGAAATTACTCATTAAATTATTGTTATTGTTATAATTCTAATACAATTGATAACAAGTGTCGAGTGGAGGTCTAGTTTTGTATAACTTTAGAAATTGAAAAAATAAAGTTGAGGTTCAACTATAATTGGCAATAAGAAGAGTAATTCAATTACTTTTAACATGTAAGGTCCTTATTTATTTATTTTTATTTTTATTGATGTGGGATTCATACTCTCAACACGAGCTCACACGTATGGCAAATTTTCAAACGTAACACATAGACAACACAAATCTTGTGACGTGAAACACTTGTGGCTATTAAGCTTCATATATGAGACAACTTGCTCAATACAAATCAGGTGACGTGAAACATGTGTGGCCGTTAAGCTTCAGACAATGGACAACCTGCTCTGATATCATAAAGAAAGCTAAAGTATCACTATAAAATTAATCGGTAATATGAGGGATAGTTCAATTACTTATAAGCACAAGTAAGTTCATTTCCCCGATGTGAGAAATATACTCTCAATAGAAACTTGGTTATGGATGTCTAGGTTTAACATTTTTTTATACATCCTTGCCATGTGAGATGAAATCTTCTTAATTATAAGTGAAGATAAATACACTAAACTGTATTAGTATTTATGTGGCTTGCCCCAACCGGGAGTGAGCAATGAATTGGCTCGGTACTTTTCTTTCTAAAAGTAAAATGTATAAGTGCAAAATTATAGTTTTAAAGTGACAATAACAAGTTTTAAAAATAAATACATAAATAAATAAAGGTTTTTTTAATCATAAATGGTCCCTATGATTGATTAAACTCATAATTAGGTTCCCTCACTTTCAAAATCAATCAATGTCGTCCCTGATATTTACTACCCCACATTAATTTGGTCATTCCGTTAAGATTCCGTCAACTATTATGTTAGTTTGTATGTGAGACCCACAAATCCAATGAAATGGTGACACGTGGATTACACAAATCGATAAATTTGGTCCTTCAAATTGATCTAACTCCTCATTTTGGTTTATGAGTTTCAAAAATCGATAAATTTGGTCCTTGACTTTCACTACCACACATCAATTTAGTCCTTCAGTTAAGATTTCAATATTTTTCGTTTAGGATTAATTACATAAAACTACCTCAACTATTGGGCCAATCACAGTTTCATACCATATCTTTAAAACATTTCAATGTCATACCTCATCTTACGAATTTGTTACAATTTCATACCTTCCATCAGTTTAAATAGTGACGTGGCTTGAGATGGGGCCAATTCTCTATTAAAAAATTAATTAAATATTAAAAACTAAAAAAAATAAAATCATTTAATAATTTTTTTTTCATATGGGACCCACCCCTTATCCCCCTCACCCTTTCTTCCACGCTCCCGTCTTCCCCCAACCCAAAACTAGAACCTCCCTAAACCCAGATCCCACCCGCGCCAACATCTTCCCCCCCCCACCCTCCCTGGCCACTCATCCCACTCCCTCACTATTCTCTTCTTTCCCTAGAAACAAACAAATTTTGAAACAAACAAACTCATAATTTTTTTTTTTTGGAGGTGATCGATTCCGCCAATTCTTTCCCCACTCTTCCCTTCTCTTCTGGCCGATTCTGTCGTCGCTTACCCCCCTCCCTGGGCCCCCGTGGCATGTCAATGGCGCTCCTTGCCTCCTTTCCCGAACCCTAAACTAAAACCCAGAAAAACCCGATCGAACTTGCTCTCCTTCGACCTTAGAACCCAAGCACAACTGCCTCCCGTCCCTTGAGCCAAAACCCACAAAACCTTGAGCAAAGCCGAAACTTTCTCTGAAACAAGCGAATTCGAAATTTAGGGTTTGGGTTTGGGTGGAATTGGGGTATTTTGTTTGAAATTGGTTATAGGGATTAATTTGGTGAGGGTGATGGGTGATGGGTGTGTAGGGGGAGGGGGAGAAGGATGAGCACCATGGGAAGGAGGTGGAGATGGAAGAAGAGAGGGTAGCGAGGGATTTTGGTTTTGGCATTGAATGAAGGTTGGGGGGACACAGATGGATGGGGAAGAAAGGGTGAGGGGGATAAGGGATGGGTCCCCCATGCAAAAAAAAATTATTAAATGATTTTATTTTTTTTAGTTTTTATTATTTAATTAATATTTTAATATTTTAATAATTTTTTAATAGAGAGTGGGCCATGTCTCAAGCCACGTCATTATTTAATAGAAGAATTGACAGACAAACTGACGAAATGTATGAAATTGTAACAAATTCGTAATATGAGGTATGACATTGAAATGTTTTAAAAATGGGGTATGAAAATGTGATTGACCCAATAGTTGAGATAATTTCATGTAATTTACCCTTTCATTTATGTGATGATGTGGTCCCACTAATCTAATCATATAGCTCCACGTGGATTAAATATAATAAACTATTTTGTTTAAGAAAGAACCAACAGACGAGTATTCCGCGTTGACATTTTTCTAACATCCATCAACCCCAACTGGAAAATAATTCAATCTAAATTCGATAAAATCAAATCCAAATTCAACTCAAATTTGATAGGATTATAACCAACTAGGAAGAATGAGGAGTGAGTTCAGAAGGCCAAGTACTTTAGTAGTGTCATGGTGCCTGCCTTTTATTTTGTTAGTATACCCTAATGAAGATGACGAAGACTTTTTTATCTTTTAGTTTTGGTTTTTAGTTTCTTATTTTGCTTTTAGTTTTCACTCTAAAAAAAAAATAGTTTCTTATAGTTAATCCACGTGGCATCGTAAGATTGAATTAGTGAGACAAAAGATATTGACGAAACTTTAACAGAATGATTAGATTGACGTGTGGTATTGAAAGTCAATGATCAAATTTATTGATTTTTAAAATTCAAGAACCAAAATGAGGAGTTGGATTAATGTCATGGGCTATTGGCGATGAAAATCATTCCTTTGTGTAATCAATGTGTCACCATTTCATTGGATTTGTAGGTTTCACAAACAAACTAACATAATAGTTAACCGAATCTTAACATAACGATCAAATTAATGTTCGGTAATGAATGTTAGAGACGAAATTAATTGGTTTTGAAAATAAGGAATCAAATGAATTTGTTCAATCCGTCTTGTCGGGTCGGGTGGAGTCCGTATAACATTTGCGAACAATAATACATCGGCGTAGCGTAAGCGTAGGTTCAGGGCCGTGGGCTTCACCTCTGCTTCCTCCTTTTTGATGAGCTCCCTCCCTCTGCCTCCTCTCTGCGACAATCAATTCCAATTCCAACCAAAATGAACACCGCCATGAAAGCGGCTCTCACAAACTCCAAACTCAACTGCTGCATTTATGTGAGGGCCGCCCTCTTTCATTCCACCCCCGTCTTGGATCGTAAGCGACGCTCCTACTGGCAACCTGTAACTCTCTCTATCTGTCTATCTATATACATACATATATATATATATATATATATATATATGTATTTGTTTCTGGGTCAAGGTCCATTTTGTTTATTTTTGATATTTCTGCTAAAGTTTGAAACTTGGTGATTTGGGTTATTGGGTATGCTCACTATACGATGATATAAGATAAGAAACCAGAAACATTGGTATTTTTGGTGTTTTTTTCCTTACCCTTAATGATTGCCTCTTGCTTCTGTGCTTAGTTTGTCTGTGAAAAGTTAGTGGAAGTGAGAAATAGATGTAATTTTGTGGATTATGTTTCATTTTGTTCTGGGGATTTGATAAAGTTCAAATTTTGTTACCTTTGCCTGAAAAAAATGCATAGTTAGGATTCTAAGCTGAAGTTGATTGATTCATTTTTGAGTTTCCTGACCAATCAGGCAAAAGTTCAAGCTGAAGTTGATTGATTGATTCATTGCGGTGAAGGTTCAAGCTTTCGTCAAACGATATATTGTAAGCTATAACTAAAATGAAGATTTTCCCAATCTAATCAAGTAATTGAATCCCATTCAAACTATTAAAACTGCAATCTAAATTTAGACAGTATAGTAACTTGAAGATGTCATGGCTATGGAGTCGTTTGTTCTTCTCCTCTCTGTATTTCCAGAAATGCTCCAACTCTTGATAGGACGAGTTGCAAATGTAGAACTGGTGAATTGAAAGGAGAGATAAATGACTATTTATGCACCATAGTTTCCCAGAAGTTCTCTCCCTATCAAAGAGGAACTGCCGGCTAGAAGTGGAGAGAGTAGGATAGCCAACTCTCTCTCAGTGGTTATCCCAGATTTCAAATTTAAAGTCTTTTAATTTTGCAGAACTCCATTTATTCTTTAATGCCACGTCATAAATGATAAAATGGCCTAATTGCTGGAAGTTATCAAAATTTTAACCTTGATGCCAAAGGACATTTGAAATGCTGTTCAGAATTTAATAAGGTTTAGTTGAGATTCTATATGTTTATCACTTGAAGGGGTGTAGAAAGTTAGAAATGCCCGATAACTCATGTATGGAAATGGAAATGAGGTGTAGTGTATTTTCTTCGGAACTGGTAGGAACGTTGGTGCAAGGAATTGATCCTTATCATCTCGACGTGTGTGTGTGATGCCTTTTTCCTTTTCTTGAAAAGTCAATGGCAATTCCAAATTGTTAAATTCTATCGTCATCCATCTTCTCTAGTCAAATTCGGTCCATATTTCGGAATGCTCCTTGGAATGTATTCTTTTATGAGTATTTAGATACCATACCAATAACATGCTGTATTTTTATACCCGATTCTGTTTGTTGCCACTAATATGTGTCTCCAACTTGTTTGCAAATATATTGAATTAGGAAATGAGTCCAGAGACATTAGGTTTTAGCAAATGATTGTATAATGTTACAGATTGAAAGCT